GTCTCGCTGCGCTTACTTCGCGTAAGCGGCTGTGACATTGCATTTTGACAGTTGTGTGTATTGAGGTTGACGTAATTGTAAATTATAGTAAGAAGTGTTAAATAGTGCGCGCGATGCGCGCGTTTGTAGTGCTAGTAATTTATAAATAATATGATATATTTCTTTGAAGTTTTTTCATCTCATAAAAATATCGATTATTTCGTTGTGTGAACGCTAGTGAGGAATTTACGATGCGCAATCAGAAATGGATCTTCGAAGTGCGTGAACATCATTTTCATTTGAAAACCTTCTCACACGTTTTCCTGATTCCGTGAATTGAACAGGGGAAGGAAAATTCATTGCATGCGGTCGAGTGAAGCGAAAGCGTGCGACGATTCCGCGGAATGCGCTGCAAAAAGACACGGTAATGACGACGATATCTTTGTACTCGCCTAGGTCTTGTCCTGATCATGTCCACATGTCCATGTGAGTCACACCCGAATTCCACGGGACAGGTCACGTAGTCAAGTTGATTCCGCGAAAGCAAAATAGAAAGTCTACTCGATGCGATTAAAGAAACATAATTATATAATGTCTCTGGACAAAAAGAATCTCGAAAAAGTCATTCCAAGACGAACGATCGACGATTCTAATACGACGAATGACGTCCACTGATATCTCAAATACAATTGCGACAGCATTTGCTAAATCGCGTAGCACGGTGAACGTCAAAATAAGCATTATGTTGCTCTCAAAAAGTCGAATCGACTGGATATCCTTGGGACTTCCATAATACAGTATATATTCGATTTAGTCGATTTGACGCACGTCTACACCTGGCACGACATATCAATATCAATTTAATATGCCGATACATATCGCAGAGATATCGGCATATGATTGAGATTAAGAAAAAATATACTTTGTGTAAAAAATACACTAAGTGCTTTGCGATGTACTTATTTTATGTATAACAATACATGCAGAGACTATGCCTATAAAAAAAAACAGTCAGTATTTCCTTTTCCTCACAAAAAAAATTAAATAAAACACGATTCAGAAAATTACACTCTATTTGATAAATGAATGATTGCTTGATGGACTATAATTGGTTTTCAACTGGCAATACAGCTTTATAAAGAATTCAACGATTTATAGATGAGTTCTAAATAATGACAGATCTTTCTCAATATAAATTCATGAAATAAAAGTTCTTAAAATATTCAAATAAATAATGATAATATTCAACTAATAATGATATATAAATACAAATTTATAATTAATTAAGTTTTCAATCCAGCGTAGAAAGATTATTAACGATATTGTACATGACAATAATTATCCATAAAACAAACGAGCGTTAATGTTTATCAAGTATTGTTACAAATTGTATTATTAATAAGATCCTCAGCAAAATTTGCAATCATGCCGAAACGAATAATAATTCTAAAAAGAATTTCTCAAACCGAAAAAACTTCAGAGATTCGTAATATACTTTTTATGCTATGCTTTATTGCTCCACAGATCCGTTTTGTTATTTACGTACATGTAGATAAGCCTGTTCGAACGGCCAGGCATTTGCTCGTAAATTCAACACATTCATGAATGCGCAAGAAATCGTTTTCCAGTTAGGAAAAAAAAATGCAAATCAAACGCTGACTAAATAAACACAAGAAACGCAAAGCGATTCTATAAAATAACCACACAACACCATGGCTTTATTGAATATACGGCTATATTAAAAAACGCAAAATATCATCAAAATCATATTTTGTGATTGTTCATTTTTATGATAAAGATCGTCGGCACTGGTCGCTAATATTTTTCTTCTACTGTCAAGCATTAATTAATTTTTTATTAAATTCTAAATTAATCATCCACTTTAATAAAAGATTTTATTTTTTATCTTTAAAGCTTGAAAAGCTAATTAATAAAAAATTGGTTATAAAATTATCGTCAGAAACAAAAGCATGTTGGATCAAGAGATAAAAATTCTAATCTCTAATCTACACTGTGCACATACCTGTCTAGATCAATTTATGTCCAAATCGTCATTTTCAAAAACATCAGACTACTATTTTCCGTATTCTATGTTTGCGAAAAGTCAATAAAATAAAGTTCTCTAACAATAAGATTCGCTTCATCGTTCATACATTGACAATCACTCATTCGTACGATTCGCAAATGAGATATTGCATGGCGGAATGTGAACGTTCGATTTAAAAATGGCAGAGAGAGAATTCCCATATACGCTTGAAATCGTCAATTGCGGTTTTCTGTGAATTTCCTGCTATTTACTTACGCGTCCTTCGTAGAAGGTGACGATCAACGTCAGGAAAAAGGATCGGACGTTTGCCGAGAGCGGGGAACTTGCTAATAAAAATCATCGGAATTACGAGCCTGTTCGACTGTTCCTTATCCCACCCCCACTCGCGATATGCTAACAAGAGAGGCGAGAGTAGAAATATAAACACCATCCGTAAGATTGTGTCGTGAAATCGTTGATTCCGATCGCGGCGGTCGTTCAGATCGTTTGGATTAAGTGTCGAAAGTGAACTCGCTCGAACTGAAAGTGCTTTTTGGAAAGATACCGCGAGAATGTTTCTGCAATCGACGATTTTCACCATATTTCTCAGCAGTCTCGCCGTATCGGCCGGTCCCGATATGGAACTCCAGCTGCTTCACGTGGTAAAGCCTTATTTCTTTCTTTCGAAGATGTAGAGTGTTATCAGTGCAGGGGATCACTTTTCTTCAGAAAAATGTGTTTATAAGCAACGATGTAAAATTTTTTTTTTCAACAATTTAATGATTTCCTGATTTTTTTTTTCAAATACGCAATAAATAACTCGATATTCGCTTCGTTTTTCAAAAATGTGAAATGAGTGTTATTTCTACACTGTGTGTTTATGTCACTGACAGACGAGCGCTTGCTGCGCGAGTTATACGCAGGTGCGGGATTCGATGCCGGGAAAAGTTTTCGAGAGAAATTAAGAAGTTACGGGAAAGTGATCCCTCGTGCGAGAGACAAGTAACGAAACATTTGCATTATCGCGGCCGTCTGTGACGGTGACAGTGATGATAACGGATGATGACGATGTAGCTTATACACAAGTATGTTCTGTTTCGAAGGTATTGCGCCACGGTGACAAAGTGCCCCATCGAGAGTTCCAAAATTACCCCAATGATCCACATCGCAACCACTCTTACTATCCGATGGGTAACGGCGACTTGACCAATGTGAGTACAAATCACGGTGATTAAATGTGAAATATCGCATCGCGTAATCAGATGTGCTGTCAGTTAAATTACGTGATTCAATTGTTCAGGAACATCACGTATATTATCTGTGAATATATCTTCAATATTTGCAAACCGATAACGTATATTAAAGTAGATTAGATCATGCGCATACCATTGAATCCTCATTTATCACATCTCCTCTGTCTTCTTATCTCTCTCTTATCTTTCGTCTCTCACTTTCGTCCTCGTTTTATGCAACGCAGGTATAAGCGTTCATCCATTTTCCAAAACCTCGGAAATCTTACGATAACTTGCGCGACTGCAGTGAGAAACCAATTCCCCACCTTTGCTGAATATTCGTTATTTCCAATTAAAGTTGAGAAAATAGTTTAGTCTATAAAAGTCCGTGTAATTTTCCGATATCCGGCTCTTCGAAACCCGTCCAATTCGGCGCTCTTTCTCGTGCAATTAGCAAGGCAAGATGCGGGAGTACAAAATCGGGACGATGCTGCGCGAGAGATACGATCAATATTTCGGACCGGATTATTGGCCGGCCAAGATCTATGCCCGATCCACGGACGCCCCGCGAACCCAGCTGTCTCTCCAGTTAGTCCTGGCGGGATTATTCCCGCCCTCCGAGAGGCAAACCTGGAATCCGCATTTGCCCTGGATTCCGACATGGACGTTCTTCGTGCCGTACAAGACTGACAACCTCTTGTTTCCGCATTACTGCTATCGGTGAGTAACTTTACAGTGAATTGGTCGCAAGGATCTGTTAACAGGATTGACGATCAAGTCTTTTTCCTTCAGTCTCTCCTCTCACCGACCTTCTTTTGTATACGAACGTTTGAGAGATGTCTTCGTTCTCTCTCTTTCTGTCTTGTGTATTTGTTCTCTCTATTTTATCTTTGTACAAAATAAAAATAATCCGGAAAGAAAAAAGGGAAAAGACTACTTTATTTTTGTGTGTATTTCTTTGTGCGCGCATGTTTTATACGAAAAACTCTGATAATAATATCCTAATCTATGAGGGCATTTCCAACTTTTATTTTTTATAGATACAAGGAAGAATATCAACGGTTCCTTCAGCTAGACAGTGTGAAAAAATTAATCAATAAATACAAGAATGTAATGGACTATTTGACGGATCACACTGGTAAACTGATTAACACTACGGACGCAGTTACCTTCTTGTACAATCTACTGAAGGAAGAGGTAAGCGATTATTCCACTAGTGATAAAGCTATAGTGTTTTTGTCTGAATTTTTACTATACAATTATTTACAGGCTGATCAAAATTTGACGCTGCCAAGGTGGACTCAGAATGTTTTCCCGAGCCCGATGAACGAGATAATAGAGTTAGATTTCAAACTTCGATCGTACACAAAAACCTTGAAGAGATTAAACGGAGGTTGGTATGCGCAGGATGTCCCTGAAATATATCAGCGAGCTTTGATAGCGGATTTTTATCTTAAAGAGATGTAAACAAAATTATTAGAAAATCTTCAAGGAAATTTGTGAGGGAAATCAAGAATTTAGGCTACTCTTTTCTCGTTAAGGAAAGCCAAAGCTCGAGTTGAATTGTCGCGCCATTGGCAATAATAATGATAAATAAAATCAGCTTCAAATTAATTATAACTTTGTGATACAATGAAAATTATTTCATAATTATTATTTCTGAAGTTCAAATGGTTACGCGAAAACTTTACTTGACAAAAAATTTATAAAATACATTATAGCATTAAAACTATAAATTAATGAATATAGAGCAATTTCGTGCATTTAATCTCAAGAAAATGCAATACGTAAAATATGTAAAATGTATATTTTCTTATTTGTTAATCTCAAGGAGTATAAATGAAAATTAGGAGTGTACAGTCGTTTTATATCCCTGTACAAATTCAGTCTGTATTCGAGTTCATAAGACGTCAATGCAAAGCACGCGTTGCTGCGCGAGGAAGTTATTTCCAGCAGTTCCCTTAAAACTTAAAGGAAAAGCAATATTTATCTTAAGATCAGATCTCCATGAAATTCTTAGATACTCTTGTAAAGCTTCGCCACAGGCAGAAAGCATTTGTAACTCGGAAACAATGCGTTTTTCCGTATTTACAACCGCTTCTCCGTCTTTAAGACGAAGTCTCGAGTTTAGTATACCGCTGAGGTTTGGTAATCTTTACTTCAGGGAAAACTTTATATTTTCTCTTTTTACTTCATTATTTAAAAACAAAATCTGAAAATCTTTTAACTGTGACCGGTGTCCACGTGCACAGGTGTGCTGCTTCGCAAAATCGTGGATGACATTCAAGATCATCAAGCGGGAAAAGCGTCGCCTGACAGGAAAGCTTTTCTATTTGGTAGCCACGAATTCAACATAGCTGCCCTTATCTACGCTTTAGGAACGAACGAACCAACGGTGCCAGCTTATGGCGCCACGATCATTTTAGAGACTCTGCGGGACAAGAAGGGAATTTATTACGTACGGGTATGTTACCTATATGATACTTCAATAAATAAATTTAAGACTTATATTTTGACCTATGTAATAATAAATTTTTCATAAAGAGCAATCAGTAACAAATCTACTTCTCTCAAAGTGCAATTCAAGAAAAGAACTTGATTCTATTCTGTTCATATAACTTGTATTATATGCATTCTATTCTTATAATTTGTATTATATTTTCTTCACTTTTATACATTATTTATTATAAAGAAAATTGTTGATATAATTATTGTTTACGAATTTAATACATGTCATTAGTATGTATTAGTAGCTTAGCTCGTTAGCTCTTTTATTGTACATTATTTGAATTTTATTCTTATAAGTCTCCTTAATTTTATTTTATTTCAAAAGTTAAATATTATCTTTTCAATTTTTATCATTACTGTATTCCTGTTAATGTTTGATATTGGAGATTTATCTTTCTCCACAGGTTTTACTATGGACTGGCGTTACGGAACAATTGAAAGTACAAACGATCCCAGGCTGCGCGGAGATTTGTCCCTTTGAGGACTTCCTCGGCATTGTGAAGGACATTCTGCCGAACGACGACGAGTATTACTGCCGGCGGGAGAAAACGATGGAGGATTTTAAGCCGAACGCTCATCATCGATCGTCGGCGACATGTATCGCCGACTTCGGATCTTGGTGGTACATCTTTCTCACCGTTTTCCTCGCGTTCACGTCGAAATTCGTGCAAAAGTGATTCCCGTCAGCGCAAGCTGGAATTTTAGATATTTATTCCTTTTTTTAAAATTTTTTTCGCAGAAAAAGATACGAGCAGAAAGAGCTACGTGGCCTTAAGTTAAAGGGAAATAGTTGCGAAAATAATCGGCGCGCAGCACGCGTTTCTGACCGATATCTCTGTATCGGAAATACTTCGCCGAACTATGAGAACGTTCGGGAAGCCCGGCGAGGTTGCGGCTGTGCGTTTCGCTACATGTGCTGCGGTTACCGCGTTGATGCATTTTACCGCACGCGTTGTTATGCACTGTCGCGTTATACACAGACCACTGTACATATGTAAATAGCTATCGGTATAACGATTTAATAGTAGCCGATATATCGTAATCATTTGGAAACAAACATATCTATTTCACTTATAGATGCGTATTCTCGAGAATATGCACTGCAAAACATTTTCGACTCTAAATATCGTAAAATTATAACAGAAAAATGTTTTTTTCCATTTGAATAGGTGTGACATTAAAGCGGAATTATGTACGTTAGCAAGTTAGTACATAAGTATGTCATCCTATACTAATATTTTTTACAAATAGAAAATTTAATAAGTTTTATATTTTTATCCTGTTACACATAAAAGGACATCTGAAAGATAATATTTATAGCATCCTTTAAATACAAATAATAAATACGTATCCCTTGCTTCAAAAGTGATACAACTAAAAAAATTAAGTTTTTCAGAGAAAATAAAAGAATTATTTTTCTCAACTTGATAGAAAATTATTAACTAATCAAATAATATTGGTAAAAAAAATATATTCTTAACATGATCAAATATCATTTTTATCATTTTACGATCCTTCAAATATCATTCTTTTTGAGTTGTGATGATTTTGACAATTTTTTATGAAAGTTAAGTTATTTTTGGTGATTGAGAGATGAGAGATAAGATAACGTTTATCTAATTCATTTATGGCAATAACTCGAAAATTATATTTTTTTAAATAAAAATGTTAAATAAATACCTTTAAAAGCCGACGCAGTTCTAATGGCGCAAATGATCCCTTTATTGAAGAATAGTAGACGTTTCGACTCTTGGATTGAGTCCTCTTCAGTACAGATTTCTCTCATATCATCTGTACTGAAGAGGACTCAATCCAAGAGTCGAAACGTCTATTATTCTTCAATAAAGGGATCATTTGCGCCATTAGAACTGCGTCGGCTCTTAAAGGCATTTATTTAACATTTTTATTTGTATATCAGAGCCTAATATGCTTATTTGAATTTTATATTTTTTTAGTTGCGTCACTTTTGAATCAATTAAAAGTACAATACATACATATATACATTTAATAAAATATACAGTATTAAACTCTATAATATACTGAAAGGAAAATCGCCATTAAAGTAAACGAGCTAATAGAGATGCTCTAACAGTGTAGATTGTACGTTTTGTGTCTCTTCAATGTGTTATATGAAACACAGAGCATATATGATCTGTTACAGATATCTC